AATAATATTTTATAATTTATAAATAATAATAATATAATATATAATTAAAGGAAACTAGGTATAAAAGCAGAGAGTACTTCTAATAAGGAAGTCCCTCTTTACTAGAAGAATCGGGATAATTTTTCTGCTATCAGGTATCAGGAATACCGGCCCGCTATCCTTGTCAAACTCCGTCATGATAACACAGGGAGGGTCTTGGACGGGGTCGGCCCCAGGTGTAACGGCTAAGGTTCTCAAGGGATAAACTAGATATATTAGTTATTTTAACTATTAATTTATTATTAGCTTTACTTATATTATTTTATAGCTTATATAGCCGGCCTAACTTACAGCCTGCTTCCTGCATACAACTGGGTCGTAACACTTACTAACCTAATATCTAAAGGCTGGAGAGCACACTACTATAAATTTTTAATAAACCCTAGTACAGTTTGTTGGCGCATTAAAGTTAGGAATCAAGGCCCGGCGCCGAGAAGAGGTCTGAAGCCAAAGATAACGCCCTCGCAGCCGGTGGGAGCATGCGCCTCCCAGTTGGTGACAACCATGCTGGTCAAGCCGAATCCTTCATGCTTGACAGTGCTCTTTTGACGCGAATGCTGTCCGGCTCCATACCCCCCATACTTCTTTTTCTTGTTAGAAAAGAACGTCAGCTGACCGATTTTCTCTCCGTACTGCACATCAACCGCCTCAATATACTCGTCAAAGGCCAAGTTGGCCTGATGCTCAACGCCACCCTTGCCGTCTCCAAACAAGTGTCCCCAATGAACTCCGTACTTTACTTGGAGAGAGTCGACGTCTTGGTAGTGGCGCACTCTAACGGCCGTGATGTTATTCCCGCGTTCGGTCACGGAAGGCTGCTTCTTGGCGTCCCAGGTGGCGCCGTTGGTGTACCGGCCGTACGGGCCTGAGAAGATCTCGCGATCTAGCGCCAGCTGAGCGGATTTAGGCATCTCCTTGCCAGCCATATACGGCCAGAACTCAGCAGGCGTGAGCACGTTCTTGATCATGGTCGTGTCGTAGTCAGATAGGGCAATAGCATGTAGAGCCTCCTTGAGTCCCTTTTCGCCCCATTTCGACGTGTAAGGCTTGACAAGTGTACGGCCCTTCTCGTAGTACTTCTTAACGTAGGCGGGGTAGGTCAGAGTCGCGCCAGGCCCGGCGGTCGCGTTACCAGGGGCGGTCGCATTAGACTGGAACGCGAGCGCATCTCTCCAGGTGTCGAGCAGCTCGGCGTCCCAGCCCGCAGCCTCGCCGGTGGCGATAGACTCCTTGAGGGCCTCTCGCTGCGATGGCTCTCGCTGCGATTGTTTGGCTCGGCAGTACGGAGCTCGGATGGGCTTAGGAGAGGAGACTGTATGCTCGTCAAACTCAGCCTGTAGGTTGTCTTTAATGTAGTTTTTAGTCCATCCCCATGCTTCTCCGTGCTTAATGCCGTCAGACAGGAGCGTAAGGTGCATGCTAGCGGCCTGGGTAAATAGCGGAAGAGCGGCCACGGCGTAATCCTCGACCTGGAATTCCGGGATTCCCGCGGTTAGGACCGCAAGGAAGGCAGTGTGATGGGTGCGAAGAGTCTCGGCCTGCTTTGCCTTCTCCTTGGCATCGGTAATCTTCTCATAGTCATAATAGACGCGGGTAAAAGCCTTCATATTTGCGGCGAAACCCTCGACTTTCTTCTGCAAGATCTTGACCTGACTCTCCTGGATCTTGGCACCAATCAAGGTTTCAATTTGTTTGCGTAGGCTGTTCCACAAGGCGTTGGGATCCTTCTTCGAGGGGAAGAGGACGGCGCCGAATAGCGATGTCAAGGCAGCCAGAAGAGGGCCGACTTCAGGAACTAAACCAACACTAATCGCAAAGATGGAAAAGATATAAGAGTATATGCCGTTGGCGTCAGATGCATCGATTACCACACCACCTCTGGCGGCGATAAGCGCGGCTTGGGCGTATTTGATGGCAGCATCAGCGTTGATTCCCATGGTTGCGTTGTGTAAATTGTTTGCAAATACGGGTTGAAAAGATTCTCCAAGTGAGGAGTGATCGATAGAATATAGAGTAGTAGATTGTTATCAAGAGCGAAGAACGTTGAGCGACGAAGCCTCTTGTATGTGTTTTCTCTTTTTCAGAATACACTCGCGGAAGTGACACAAACGGCCATGTTCTTAATTGCTTGCTTATTGAACCAGGTTTTCTAGTGTACTCGTACCATATTGCGCTGCTCCGTGCGCCTCTACGGTCTACTGGGCGATATGGGTAATTTTCGAATGCCTACTCGGTAGTTGGTATCCGTACCGACAAGGAAGATCGAAATACTTACAGGGCTGCGAGCACCCATGCCAACCAGGTTGCCAGGTTTGAACCCTGCCATCAAATAGGGGTCCCGTTTTGCAGTAGAAAAAGATACCGCATGGGGATACGATATTCATGCACGACATTACGTAGCTGCCGATGGTCCCGCCGTGCTGCTAGACCGACCATTGCAACAAGCTGCTCCCCATAATTCTGCCGACGTACTGGTACTGACTCGATCTAGTTTCCGCATAGGGCCGGTACTTGTTCTCCCAGCCTGGGCGCTAAGCGACGTGACTTTGGAAAATATGCACCCTAGTTACTTGTCGACTACCTACCCTAGTACCCACGCGGTAGAGGGGTGTTTTCTGACATGGCACCTGGCAGCGTCTCCCGTTTATGATGTCTCCTTGCCGTCTAGGAAGACTATCAAGGCACTCACATATGTCAGAATAATTCTGGATTAGCACCTATACGTGTCAGATACCCTGACAGCTTTAGTAGACGGCAAGGAGACAATGCCTGGGTGACGGCGTATTTTGGCCGTGTCAACAACATCCCCCGCGCGCGTGTGTACTGATTATACCTAAGCAGACAGACTTCGAATTACGGCGGCACCCCACCGCATGACGGTCCGCGGCCATGTACATTTGCGCCCTTATTTTTTTTCTCGGTTATGCCGATAAACAGCAGCCGAAATACCCCCTGCTCAACGTGCACGTGCCAGGGTAGGATACGTGCGCGATAGAGTGATTTACTATCTTGTATACTTTCTCGCATACTGCATCAGGGTTCTGGTCAGATGCCTTTCTATAGCAAATCGTATTATAAGCGTGAGTAATGACCTTCAGAGCTGCTCGACCTTAAAAAAACTCTGCTCTTTTTTGCTTAATACGAAGTGAGCCTCTGAAAGGGCTAGACCATTGTTTATTACGGCCAGCGAACGGGAATCGAATCGATAAATTCATTCGATACCAAGTCTTACGAATGTCGAATCGAATTTCTTGTCGTTCGATTCGATGCGAATCGAATTGGTCCGTCTCATTTGATATTCGAAGCGAACATGGCCCATTTCGTTCGATACACGAATCGAACCCTGCATGGCTTTTCGACGTTCGAATCGCATGAATGGTTCTGTTCGATCGATTTGATCGAACAGATTATTGTTGTTGACGAAAAGAGTTCACGACGCGTTCGGCAAAACAAAACTAGACGCGTGAACAAGTGAGGCGACGCGACGGCAGCTGATGTGACCCATGCTAACTTGAGTATTGTGAAAGGTGCTAGAATATGTTAGCAGATACATTTAATTATCACAAATCTGCATGCAAGGTGAAGTATTCTACAACCTCTCTAATTATTTGCAGGGTCCGGAACATTTCCATCTATTTAGCACTAATACTCGTAGTAAGCAAGTTTCTTTTATTAAAATCCATTTCTGAGCGTCGAAAAGATCACCAAAATAATTTATAGGAGATATTAAAAGCAACAAATCATGCAACGAATTATGTTTACAAGATACTTAATCTGTATTGGTAGAATGTGCATGCCACAGGTACCTACTAACTAGAGTATATAGGGTAGGTCTCTCCGTACTAACTGTCCACACCACCTGGCTGCGTTGTAACTAATCCAAAAGGTAAAACTCTAATAACCTACCTTTCTTTGTTATATCTGCCTTGTAGCCAACTATACTATAGCTAAGAGAATATCTTAAACTTGTAATCTAGTATCAGTAAAATATGTCTAGTTAGATTCATAATAAAGACTTTCCACTCCAACCCCGCGTCGGCAGCAAGACGCTCGTCAAGAAATGCTATGTGATGGCAGATAGAGCAAAAATGAGAATGCACGCATTGGGTAATAATTATCAGGCTTTTCTTCCTTGGTTCTTTCCTGTTGTCTGTTGTAATGCTGACTTGCTCCGAGACCCATTTGGTTCCTGAAGGATTGTATCGGTGACTTGAATAATCGCTTGGGGCATATTACAAAAATAGAAAAGGTGCGTCGTCGCGTAGTCTGTGCACGGCCGCTCGAGCCAATGGGATGCTGAGCGACGAGCCTCTTTGACTTGACACCTGAGCCGACAAGGATGTTATATTAGCTGGCTGAACATCGTAGTCAAATTGCGATGCTGCTTCTTCTTCAGTCAGGCTAATGCAGCTGGGGACATGAAGCTTTGTCTCTTTTTTTTTGTTGCTTTTGTTGCTTTTTTTGTGCCGCCTAGTTTTTTTGGTTTGTTTTCTTTTTCTGTTAGCATTGAACGCGAAATCGCGTGTAGGCACGCGTGATGTCGGTCTCCTTTTGGCAATTGATAGGGACGCCGCATCTCGTATACTATCCCGCACACTGCAGCTTTCGAAATTGATAAGTTGTCATCAATCAAAATCACTGACTTCTTGGTATCTGATCACTGATTTCCGAGTCGCAAAACTAGCTCAACGACGAGAATAAGAGCTTCAACCAGTCGCATAGCTACAAAGGGGACATTGCAGGTGACAAGTAACCCTGGCAAGTTTCCTTAGCGTGTGCTACTCATGCCATGTTTTTTTTTTTAAACAAAAACTTTCTCAATTCTCAATTGTTTGGCATGAAGACGGGTGGCTTCAATCTCAGATCCCTGCTCGGACTAGCCGCGATTCACGACTCGTAAAGCCCACACGCAACGAATGCTATAGTCAATTGCATAAAACAAGACCCAGACCTGCGTATATCAATATCCACAAAAATTCAAGGCCATGTATTGATATGCAGCACATCTATAGATTAATATCCATATAACCACATAGCCACTTTAGTAAGGCTTAAGCCAGGTCTATAAATAGTAGTGTAAATGAATGTGGCACTAACCTAATCTAGAAAGTCTTCCGCCTCTGAGTTAATGCCAGATTTAACAGCGACGCTCGAAATAACGCCCCTGCTGCTGTGAGACTTGGGGACAATTATACCCTCACGTATCTAGTTGCCCACGCACTCCACCTTCGCCTAGTTGTGGCAGGTCATGACGTCGCGCAAATGAGAAGTGCGACTCCACATTAAATGAATTAGGAGGGACAGAGAAGGGATCAATTACTATGGACAGTAAAGTTTAAGATGGAAGAGTAGAATAATGAGCCGGGCTTTCTACCCACTTTACCCGGGTAGGGTAGAACAGTCGAGTTCTCGATGCGCCAGGTCAAAGCTTTCTTTTTAAAGGACAAAGTTTCCTCTTTCCCTGTCCTTGGCTTCTGACACGCCAATTGGCTGAGGCCTTGCAGCTGAAGGTGGCGCTGCATAACGACGCCACTGGCTGCTTCAATACAACGAAGGTCAATCAAGTCGCCAGGTTATCCATGCTCTCTCGGCGCCATCATGCAGTCCAAATTGCCCAGTTCTTGCTTGCTTTATGGCAGCGTCGAAAAGAACTGAGCGAGTAAGCCTTTGATGGGATGGTTGCAGAGGCAGCTTGTCGCTACCCTAAACTAAGTATTAAGCTATTTTCTTCATATTTTTCGATAGCGTTGTAGAGTCATAGCTCATTGAGTTTTTAGATAGCTAGCTAGTAGATGCAAAGCCGAAAGCCCCGCGTGCCTTCATGTCGTTCAACTTGGTGAAATATGTACTTTACACGGTATGTAGCTGGGAAGGCGAGTGTGTTACTCCCCCCCAAAAAAACAGATAAACAAATCCGAAAAAGTGGTGTTATGGAGCATTCCCCAGTTATTTGCATTACGCCGAGCGTGTGTACGAGCAAAGCATTTGCTTATACGAGCAGTAGCTAAGTCATAAAGACACCTCTAAAGCGAATATGATTGTGGTTCAGTTTAGAGGCCTAACTTCCTGATAAGACGCACATCATGGGTTGACTTGTGTTGTGTTATTAACAAAGCCCGTGGTTAGACTAACGCATAGCCCAAATAATACCCATTATAATTTATGTTTAGTTGCACGCGTTAGCTATCAAGTACCAGCCATCGCACGCATCGTAATCCACTTGTCGATTGCTATTCGAGTTTCAGAAGCGGACAACACTGTTTTGCTACTCAATAACAAAAAGAACACAATAAAACTAGCCGTGATTAAAATAAAACTCTTTTTTTTTGCCAGCCTATCTATTTATGATCTTATTATTATGTGGCTTAGAAATCCAGAGTATATTCAGCGCCTCCTGGTATTCTCCCGCGCTTATATAGCGAGCTGTTACGAACGTTACTACATAAAACGTGGGGCTAAGCTCGACCAAGCCTAATCTCGTATTTCACTGTGATATAGCGCCCAAGGCCCGATCCCTGGTCCCTACTGCGGCGCGGCCGAACAATAGAACATCATTAGTAAAGTTTTTCTATCAGTATAGTTTTGGATTACTTGTACTACACGAAGTAGAAATACGCAGTGCACCCCGCGCCTGACTCTGTGATGTTTGAACATAATTCCCAAATAAAAATTAGAGTTAATCATGCTTTCTTATACTTTTAACTCTCTCGTTGCCGCGCTGGCGTTGCACACCAGCATCGTGTCGTCCCATCGCCCTATAACGTCCCTCAAGAGCCGCCGCCTCACAGAGTACCAACTTCCACCTGCCACCGAAACCCACGAATTTGCGCGCATTCCTGGCACAGACTTTGTCTTTTTGTCCCAGATGTCTGACAGTGTACTCATCAAAATTCAACTCGACGCCGTCACCGAGGCTCCGATTGCGTACCAGTCCTTCCCCATGGGCAGCTCCGACAAGTCCGGCCTCCATGGCATCTGGCCGTCGACTCTGTACCCCGGGAAAGTGTGGATGACACTTCAACACGACAACAAACTGCTTCTTGTGGATCCTGGCTGTGCCCTCAAGTCCCCTCCGTCCATAATCGAGACGATTGATATTCCGGCGCCAGGGAATGGCCCGCATTGCGTGTATGAGACCGGCGGCCGCGTTTGGGCCAGTCTAAAGACCGCGTCAAAAGAAACGGGCGGATATTACGTCTTCTCAGCCAACATGACCAACACGACAGACCAGAAGTTGTATCCGTGCCTCAACAGCCCAGTGTTTATCCAAGAAGATCCGACGACTAAACTCATCTATGTAACCCAGGACACCGACTCGTCTATTATGCGGATCAACCAAACGAGCGGAGAGACGGTACAGCTGCCGATTCCGCCCAGCATCGGCCGGACACCGGTTGGTATGACAACCGTCTCGGGCCCTCTGGCCGGAGTCTGGTTCAGTCTCGCGGGCAATTCCACAGGCGGTTCAGGCTCTTTTGGACGTGTTACCTCCACGGGCGAGCTGCAATTCTTCCGACTCCGAGCGCCGCAACTACGTGCTAGCTCTGGTTTGCTCCACGTTGCAGACGCTTCGACGGAAGAGGGTGGCCCGGCGCTTTGGCTGCTTTCCACGTCACTACTCAGCAGCAAGTCTCCTGATGCGTTGATTCGTGTGTCATTTGATGCGGCTGTCACCTCGGTCACCGGCGAAGAGTATATTGCCATGCTCACTCAGAATGCCATGGTGCACCGGGTTGTGCCCTTGGCTGCCACGGTGTTAGTGTCGCAGCTACATACTTTTGCACTTGCGCAGCTTACGTACAATAATACGATTGCCGGACAGTGGCTACCGGCGGACGTGGCTAACAATACTGCCGTTTATAATATGAATGTCTAAAAAGGCTTTGCTTCAGGAAACCTGGGATAGCTTCTATCCACACACGCTTAGAATAACACATAATACATAAGCAATATCGGAATACTAGAACAAGACCAGTTGTTTTCCTATTATTATTATTCTATGTCTTTCTCTATGCTCCTCCAAACGTGTTTTACACCCCTCCTTTTCCGTGGGATCGTCACGTATTTCTGCAGCTACCCTAGCCTTAATCCGATTATCTTCCTGTTTAATCCAGTCCAGATACGCTATTACTTCTTCCTAGTAATAATTTAGAGCTGTCTTTTAAAGTAAAAAAGAGGATAGTATAGGGCGTAAGTAAGATACTTGTTACGACCCAGCCGCAGGCTGCAGTGTAGGTCGCAGAATGGGCCGACTGCATGAGCCACCCCGTGGAGGGACAAGGCCCATGTCAGAACAATAGTCGGAGCGTACAAGGTGATCGCAAGAGTCTCCTTGCGATCAGGACGACTCACAGTCAGAAGTCGCCCTCAGGAAAGAGCGACCACCCTGTATATAAGAACCCCAAATTCGCTTTATAAATAGATTTTAGCTTCTTAGCTTTTAATAATAATTATTATATTAACCTAAGCTTTATTTATAACTTTTTAACTCTGATTACTTGGTTATAGTTTATAACTTATTACCATGTAATACCTAATTGCTTAGATTAATTGCCCTAGTTGTTTTATTAATATAAATTATAACTAGTTTATCCCTTAGAAACTTTTAGCTGTTATAATACTCTTAATAGTATAATTTAGTAGTAATATAATAGGGAATTAATACACGGGCATAACACTTTTACTACCCGGGTATAACTATTATCCGGGCATAAATTTTACCACTTCTAATTCGCTTATACTGTCTCGGCCCACAAGTACTTCCTTGCAAAGGTAATATAGTAGTTTTACCTAATAATACTTAAAATTACCTTAAAGTTAGTTAATTATTAATAGTTATTTAATATAATTTATCTTTTAAGCCTTAGTTATAAATTAGATCTACTCTTAATAATAGTTTTTAGTAATTATTATAAAAGCTTATAAAAATAATCAAATAATTATAAATTAAAAGCTAAGTAATTTATTTTTCTTTTATTACTTAATAATAATATAACCTATATTTTTCTTATTACTCTTTGCTAGTTCTTATTAACTTTTTACCTTATAAATATTTTTTAGTTTTTTATATAATATTATAATAACTTTTAGATTAAGAATTTATTAATATAAATCTTTTAATACTAATTCCTAAAGTTACTAGTATAAATAGACTTTTCACTACAATATATAAGGTTTGCCTTTATAATAACAGTAGCTGAGGCTATCGCGAGATAGCCTTAGCTAGTAGTTATAGCGCAGCACTAATTACACTAGTATATTTAACGTATTATAATATATAAATAATTTATTTTTTTAGTTTTTTATTATTTTTAGCCTAATATAACCTAATATTATTTTAGATTTTATACTTATATAATATTTATATTATATATATAATTTTATTTGATTATAAAGCGAATTAACTATAAATTAATAAATAGACTTTTTATTTAATAAAAAGTATTATAAAATCTAGCTTTATATAGACTTTATAATAGTAAGGGATTTTAAGTTTAATTAAAATTATATAGTTATTATTATAAGGTTTAATAAAGTTTAAAAAGGGATTCTTACTTATTAGTAGAAACTTATAAGTAATATAGTATTACTTATTAATTAGCTTAAATCCTTTTAAGAATATAGTTATTTATAGTTTATTAAGATAATTATTAATTAAACCTAGATATTAATTTATAATTAATTCGCTTTATAATAAAATAAAATTATATATATAATATAAGTATTATATAAGCGTAAAATTTAAAATAATATTAGGTTATATTAGGCTAAAAATAATAAAAAATTAAAAAAGTAAA